TACTACTTGGCTCAAACGATATCTTTTCTTTTCTCATATCCACGTTTTATCATGTTTCTCTTCCTTTCAGAAATATTGCCTCCAACACTATATCCTGTTCCTCAAACGCCCACTCTCTAAAATTCACTGCATTATACAGTCTGCGTAAAAGCTCACGGCGCATACTAACGTTCCTCTCCTGTGATCCAGGTTACGTCATACCCTGGGTAGGCAACCTTACGGAAGAAAAGTCTCTTTGAATTTCCCATCGGCGTATGAGAACCGGAAGTATATTGAAAATAGAATCCAGTAAGTTTCTAATAACTGACCGCAGTGGCTGCGCGGTCTAAGGAATGAACCGTCTTCGCCCGCTCGAACGCTGGGATCGTGGGTTCGAATCCCACTGAAGGCATGGATATTGTGTTCTGTGTGTAGGTAGCGACATTGAGATGGGCTGATCACTCGTCCAAGGAGTCCTACTGTCTGTGTAAAAAAGATTACGAAACTGAAGAGGAGGCCAGGGCCCAACAAAGGGCTGTAGAGACATTGATGAATGAATGAAAAATTTCTAATAACGACATAACAGTCTACATCGGTAGCTCATGATAGGCACACTCTTTTCCACAGCAGCTAGTGTATACATGTAAATCGTGTGTTAAATAATACCTCGCTTCTTAATTTATTATAGCGACAGCTGGTGGAATTTGTTGATTCGATAATTTAATATTAGTAAATGAAGTTAGCAACTAAATAACTAACTTATAATATAATAACTAAATATAATAATATTAATTAATATTAATTAATAATAAATAAATAACTAAATAAATAACTAAATTTTTTAATGCTAGTGGGGTGGGGCCAAGTCCCTTGTACTGCGGCCACTTCTGGCCTATTGTACCAGCCCCAGATGATAGGTGAGGGTGATTGTGTAGCAATTGATGGAATGAAGATTGGCAGGGGAAACCGATGTACTCGGAGAAAACCGGCCCCAGCGTCACTTTGTCCACCACAAATCCCACTTGACCAGACCCGGGATCGAACCCAGACCGCCGCGGTGGGAATCCAGCGACTAACCGCTTGAGCTATAGCGCGGCCTAACTAATTAACTAACTAACAACGTCTGTCTTCATAAGCTCATAGCTTTTCAGCTGGTGAAGAAACTTCATTCTTTAATCCGAAGTTTCTTTGCCGTATAATGTTGAAAAATCTTTGAAAGAAGGTATAATGAAATACGGGGGATTTTACGATTGAATTCCCTCCTTCAATTATAAGAAATTTTATAGTTTCATATATTAAATTCTTATATAAATTGTTTTTATATTTTGTAAATTTTCAGATTTTCAGGGCGGTCACTATTAAGACGGCGGATACCCAATGTTCGGAGAGACATTCACCCTATACCTTCAACCTTAAAGATGAAGTCAGTATGTTCCTCCGAAAATTCGGTATCCACCCACAAAATAACACGGCGTCACAACAGAGACTCAGTCTCAGTAGTCTCAGTCAGTAGCATCGCTTCAGAGGAACGTATTTCTTCCGCCTTCCGTCGTTATTGTTCAACACTATGCGTCGACAGAGCGTAGTACTCTATTGTTTCAGATAGTGTACTAATTCTGTCGGTAGGTGTCTCTGCCAACAATAATATGTCGTCACCCTTCGTCATTTCAAAGAAAAATGATTATTTAGAAGAGGTTCTTGAGACGTGTACGTGTATGTTGTATGTATTCTTGGATGTGGCTCCGTGTAATCCTGTAGAAGTTCAGCGACATTTCGGAGGAGCACACTGGTTCCTTCTTCACGATCAAAGAATAAGCCAAGGAAACAGCTAACACGACACAAACAATAATCTCTGTTTACTTCTTGGTGCTTTTTGGGACTACATTCTTTCGAAATGTCAGTGACATACCATACTACACTATATTCTGTATATTAGGTCTTAGGATTAGATTCTTAAGGACACGAAGAAGAGGCCCTAGTATTTCATACAAACACAAATAGGCATACTTGAATATTCCAACATTCCTTTGGTCAACTTCTTCAAATATGTCCCTATGTAGAAATGAATTTTGTTTGCCTTGTAAACTTTCCTTATCACATTTCCCAACCTGAGCCACTTCTCCCTCTTCTAAACCTATTGTGCCCCGTTTGCAGAGTTAGAGATGCCCTCGACCTAGCACCGGGGAGGGTTCGATCTATTATTCTAGGAGACTCAACTCTTGGCGGCATTGCAGTAGCAACCAAAGACTAATTACTACTGAACAAGGATTTGCTAAATTATCGCCTTCATACCCTTCCCCGTGTCTCAGTTAATAACAGGAGTCACCACCCTTCTCTTGCCGCCATTGAGTTATGACCGACACTATGCTCCGAAATTAACGTCTCTTCGTAATAACTTGGATAGAATATGAGAGAGGCAAACTCACTCCGCAGCCCCCCTGCACCTCATAGTTGACTCCTTTATATTTAGCACGTGACTTCAAAAGCATGAATAACCCCTCCCACTTTTACTCCCCCACTCTTAATATTTCACCACCCTCTCGTAGTCTCTCTATAGCTGGTATTTTAATTTCTCTGAATTCTACCCCCTTCAACATTTCTTCCCTTCCAACTCACATTTTATATGCTGGACGCTTGGAAATTCCAACTATCCTCTTCTACAAATTGTTTTGATTTTCATTGCTTGCAGTGTGATTTATGTACAAGTTGTGTGGAATATTTTTATCATGCCTGTCTTGGAAGTTATGTACCATTGTTAACTGCAAACGTGCTCCATGCAGTATGGGCAGGAAGACGCCATCACCCCCCTCTGGAGCACTCTGGGCAAGTCCTGGTTAGTGTGGAGACATACAGTACAATAGTGTGAATCACAAAGTTGACAACATCTTTCGTTCGAAACGTATGTTGATGGTGCTACAGACCAAGATAATCATGTAACCAAACATCTCACATAATGTGTAAAATGCAAGTAATATTTTGTCATTGTATTTATTTTAACTGCTATGAAGTGTATGCTGTGTCTAAAAGCCTTTGATTGTGCGTCAGAATCACACAGTGACATAGATCGTCATACAAGGTTACACGATGTCACAACCTAGACCAGTGCCTTGGAAATCGCAAAATATGAAAGAGTCGTATGTAAACTGCTTCCAGAATATTTTGAGGCCGAATCATTATTAGACAGTGATCCATACATCATCATTACAGAGTTAACAGATTACATTCTGAACATACGATAGGAACCAGCATCGCCATATTCGAGATCAGGTTGAATACACAGAACTTCTACAGGGTTACATAATCAAGGTATGACGTACCATCACAGATGTTTAAAATGGCAATGCTTGAAACTGAATATACAAAAAGGCTACTTAATATACGACATTGGTGACTCTCGAAGATTACTGCCGTCGGAGATGTGACGCCGTGTGGTCAGATAGATCTTTACCAGCGTTTCGAAGGAGCCTTCTTTCTCTGTCTTGGGAATTGAGATATAGGAATCTCCATAACGTTAACAATCTTGATACTTAATGGCAGAATGTGAATTTTACATTAATATCGTAATAATTGTCGATCACAGTGGCTGCGCCGTCTAAGGCATGAAGTGTCTTCGCTCGTTCGAATGCTGGGATCGTGGGTTCGAATCCCACTCAAGGCATGGTTGTTTGCATTTATTCTGTGTTTGTGTGTAGATTTGTGTGTAGAGTATCCTGTATGGAGGCGGGGTAGAATACCTCCACCGTCGCCTTGCGAGTCGTAGGAGGCGACGAAAAGGGAAGTCTCGAATCTGAGACAGTAAAATATCTTGCGAAAGGTATATCGCGAAGACAGCACAGAAGCGAAGAATGTTCCAGCGTCCGAAGCTCTGCTATGCAACGATTAAGGAAGGCACAACAGACTTAAGCTCTTCCGTGTATGTAATCTAACAATGGTGTTTATATTGGTATTGTATTGGGAATTGTGTTTGTATTGTAATTATAAGTGTAATTGTAATGTAATGGTATTCATTGTCTGTAGTATGTGACACTTACTGTTGTCTACTTTTATTTATTGTTTAGTTTTTTTGTGCTGTGCTTTGTTCGAGCGTGGCGGATTATTTTGTGTTGTGACTTATTTTATTGCCACTGCCTCGGGTAGAAACTTATTTGCAGTCAAATAAATAATAATAAAAATAGCAATAAATATCTGTATAGAAGTTTATTATGTGGTTGCCCCTTCAAGCATCGAGACAATCACCACACGAAAAATTTTAATGATAGACATATGAGCTTTATCTCTGGACTTTAAGAAAACTCCTTAAGGAGACTATACGATGTATATTGACCAGAAGCAGTGTCTACTCAGGAGTAAAGGCGCGTTACGTTAGCAAGAACAGGACCACACAATCAGGAGGTTTCTCGGAAACGTTGAGAAGCACGTGCCAAACTACGCGGTGTTACCAGCCATAAGACTATTGTCCATGGTTTATGCTGACCGTCTTACAGTGTATACACTTTTTCACCCTGTTCTTCACTTCCACACTACATATTTCAGCACTAATGTGCCATGGACATGAATCAGTGTAACAGGACGCTAAAATATAACATTAAAAATATTGGCAGAAATATTTCGGAAGAACTTGCTGCTTCTGTTTTTCAATTATAGGAGTAAACCGAAATGTGGTACGGATCAGAACCCGCACCCTGATCAAATCAATATGAATAGTAAGAATAGTGGGGAGGAGGCCCATAACACTTGCGGATACTTTCCATGGAATTTTCAACGGGCATTACACTTGTAAAATAATAATTATGGTGACTGAAGTGATGAGACGCTTCAGGAATGTGGCTGAAGGACTATGTCACCTATTTCCATCCACATCGTTCAGCTACTATGTGATGACGTTGCCAAGGGATCATCTGCGCTACTTAAGCACATTTGAGAGTTCAGTGTGATGACTGTTTTGTACGGAGTGCTGGAGTGGACTCTGTGAACCCTCTCTTGACTTAATGATTAGTTTGTTGTGTGTTTCCTGTTTACAGGCTCACTGTTGGACAGTGCTCCACCTGATGTACCACCTCGAAACCCCTCGATGAATCGACTAAACGGTCGCGTGGCCACGGGGATCATGGGGAACCCCGCCGACCGGGACGGCGATTTTGAGCCCTCATACCTCGTGAGGACACCGTCGGGCAATGTCTACATTCCCACAGGTGAGCTGGTAACCAGAGAATGAGGCCTGACTTCCATCTGCTTCGCAAATCGAATACTAGGCATTGACATAATATAGACGATGTATTTCTACAATGTGGGGCACACTGTAGTGTAGTTGGTTGAGACACTACGCTAGAAGCCGGAAGGTCGCGGGATCGAATCCCGATGAGGTCATTGGATTTTTTTTTTTCAATTTATCTAACCCTTCCAGCCGCACTATGGGCCTGGGGTCGACTCAGCCTCCAACAGAAATGAGTACCAGGAATGTGGGAAGCTCAACATCTCACAACCCTATGGACATCCACGGCCTGTTACAAGGATACCTTTACTTTTTTACTTTCTACATCTGCAACATTGTCAAAACCCATTCCATGCAGGACACACACAATGTAAATCCTACAATTTTTCTGTTTTGAAATCCCAAGAGAAGAGGATTTCTTCACAGGCAGTACCTCAGTTTAGCCTATGACATCTTTCTTCCACTTCTTTTACTGTTCATTATTCACTAGTGGTCTTGAGATTGGAAGTAGACATAGAAAAAGCTGAGTACTGTTGTTATGTCACCAGAATGTAGGATATGTCATACTAAATGTAGTTCATGGGTCCTTTGAAAATGTGGCAAATTTTAAGTGTATATGAATGACACTGACAATTTGAAAATGCATCCATGAAGCTATTAAGAGTAGATTATATTTAATTCTGAATCTCCAGTTCTTTCATCTGATATTTAAAATTGTAAAAGGTAATGTTGTCAGTGTGCTTTAATTATTTAAGCATCATGTCATGAAGGTGTATGAGATAGCGGAGGTACATCCACTACTCTGACCTCAGCACTGGATGGGGGTGAGTTGTCAGCTTCACACCCCTGGCACTTTACCCCTGAAGAAACAGTTCCGATATATGAAGCTGGGTTGGCCCCACAGCAGCTCTGTGCATTATGGAGAAGTGAAGAATATCTTGTCTCTGCTGGGAATCGTACACCTCAGCTGTCCAGCCCACAACCTAGTTAGTTCCTATACTAACTGAACTTTCTGACTCCTAATTTAAAGTATATAGATTGAATTGTACACAGCTATAATTTTTCTTGTATTTTTATGTGGCTGTTAAACATGGACTCTCACAATATGGCAAACATTATAGCCTGAGGGAGGTTGAGAGTAGGATGCTGAGGAGAATATTTGAACTGAAGAGGGATACAATGCTATGAGGCTGGAGAAAATTGAATAATAAGGAACCTTATAATTTCTACTCTTCACCAAATATTATTAGAATGATCAAGTCATGGATGACAATGTGGACAGTGCATGTAATATTCATGGGTGAAGAGAGAAGATAAATATGTACAAAGTTTAGATATGAAAACCTGAAAGAAAGAGACCTCTAGGAAGAGCTAAATATAAATGAGTGGATAATATTGAAGTTGTTTTAAGAGGAATAAAATATAATGGTGTGGAGTCATCTGGCTTAGGCTAGGGACCACTAGTGAGCTCCTGTGAACATAGTGATGTGTGAGATCCTCAAATCTCACACAGAATTTTATGACCAGCTAAGTAGTTATCAATGATTCAAGGAAACTAGTTAACAATAGCTGTAACTGTCCTCCCGTCTATCGCTGTATCAATAAATTAAGCAGCGAAATGTGTGACATAATGTAACACTGTAAGAAGCTTGTGTCTGTCATTATTCTTATTATTTTCTATTTATATATAGCTGTCTGCCAGCTCATACTAATACATCAATCCGTTGTATGTGTTACAACCACTTTTATGTCAAGTGTGTTCATTTCTTAGGAGGCAGCAAGATCAGTTCTTGACTTTGAGGCCTGCTATCATAACAGAGGTTTTTATGCTTTTCCTTTGTCCCTTTAGGTCAGAACTAGGTAATATAGTATAGTACGTCCTTCAGAATGTTAGAACATTTTTATCTCTTTGACATACTGCAATACCTGGTATCAGTAGCAAGCATTAGTGAACATCATCATATGTAAAAATATGTTAAATTAATCTACATTTATTCTTAGTACATATCAGGGCATTGTTACTTAGTTATTTGGAAATGTAACATAGCATATCTTGTGGAAATTAAATGCTTATACAAAAATTCTTATTTTTTCATTTTTAGATGTACCGAAGGATTCTCCTTTGGACTACAAGTCCAATTCATCATGCAGCAGTCCATCTAAAGGGGATATTCAGAAAAACTCTGAACGGTAAAACTTTCATTTTTGTCTTAGGACCAATACTAATAGACATAAATTGCTGTGTAATTCTCCTATACTTGCATTTAAGAAACAGGAAGTTGTAACTAGGGGCCCATTATACTTTCAACCCAATCATATTTAACAATGTTACCTTAATGTAAAGTATTAAAATAATACAAAATACAGGTATTAAAGAGCTCCTCTCAATAAGCATATATTGTAAAAGTGATGGAACTTGATAATAGAGAAATTTATTGGTGGATCCATCTCCTGGAAAATAATTACTGCTATTTGTGGCCAGCATATGTAGAAATTGCAGTGAGGCAATTAGAGGTGTATGTGGTGTGGCAATGCATATAGATATTCATTACAGTGGACTCTATTGCAGAGTTTCTTAATGACTTTTGAAAAGAAAATGGCCCTTGATAAAACTTCCACCAACATGCAATATTCATATAAAATGCAACTGATGGTGAAAGCGATGTGGCAGCATAGTTTGGCTGCTGGTGCTTAAGGACTCCATCATGAGTTCACTGATTAAGACTGAGAGAAGAATGTCATCTGATTATATTTTGAGCAACAAACAAATTATGTGGAAAACCAAATCGAAGCTCCCCATACTGTTTTCCCATGATGTGTTTACCTTTGATCTCATTTTGTGAAACTTGTGTGTTGGTCAAAGTTTTATTAATGGCAAAAGTTACTTTCCAAAAATTTCACATCTACAAATAGAGGTATGTCGATTTTGAGGAGGTGTAAATGATACAAGTAAATACATTAAGCAGTATGTACATTCATGTGTTAAAAATATTTCACTGTCATTTGTGAACAGTGTGTCAGTCAGAGGTACCATATATCGTACATATTATTGAAAATGAGTGAAGATTTGTGATACTCTATACTTATAATATAACCACTACTAAATTTTAGTAATTATGATTTTAACTGTAATCAGTGACGCTAGTATTCTGCATTTCTGGCATTCTTATTTGTAATAGATGCTTGAAAAATTGACAATTTTTTGTATGTTATTATTTCAGATGTTCCTTGCCATTCGGGACACCTGTTCCAGTCCTGCCCGTCCGTAATAACTTGCGCCGCCCAAACTCGAGCCATTTTCCACAATCACGGTTCCAGTTTCGGAAAGGCCTCACTTCAAAATGTACTTGGAAGTGTACTGCAATTGTATTCATTATTTTATCAGTTGTACTTGCAGCAGCGCTGACATATATGTCAGGTAAGTGCTGACCACTTGAGCTGTCATGTAATCCTTTCTTTTCCGAGCACAGAGCTAGCCCATCATTCTCAGAGCTTGTAAATGACTGTTGCAAGGGTGTTAGAAATCCCATTATTTTACAATAAGCATTAATTTTGTTATACAAATATGTATCCTGCACTGTGTCCATATTACTACCTCCTGTTTTGTGCACAAACTACATAAAATAAGTTACATCTTTTTTAAAATTCTGTTACCATGCAAAATTGCTTTAAATTACCATCTTGTTGCATCCAATTTGAAAGTTCTCAAGCCCACCATAACTAATTAAAAACTGATTCACAAGGGAGACTGACTTAGGTAACATGACCTTGATGCTGAGTTTTGTAAAAATCTCAGTGGAACATCCATTTAATGTTATTGATTTTTCATTTTCAGTCATTTAATTTCAACATTCAATTTTATTGATTNATTGTGTTGTAGGGTTTGTAAAGTGTGGAAACCCGTAATATTGTGATCATTAATTATAGCCGTTATTTGTAGATTGTTCAATAAACCAGTTAACGATCTCCACGGCGTATTCTGTAACGTAAACACGTTACAATATATATATATATATACATTTGTGTTATGTTTTTTTCCAGCGGTTAACCTATTAAACTGGTCATATCAGAGTGCCAAATCTTGCACAGTTCTTGTTGGAGAAAACACAGAAGTTTTCCCCAAGACGTCTGCTGAAACGAATCGTTCGTCCAGTCGTCCTCGACCTTCTTCGGGAGGTAAATACCTACATGTTGGTGGCAATGCTGTGTATTCATATTCTTCTTCTTCTTCACCACCACACAGTAAATCAGCCCCAATGCACCTTCGTTGGCATAGATCAGTTAACCAGCATGCCTTACCTTCTCCTAATGTTGGTATGAACAGTGACACTCCTGTTGCTGCCCATGATGTTGATGATGTAGATGTTGCTGTGCATGTTGACAATTTAACTTCTGTGAGTTTGGTGCATGACAGTAAGTCTGGCAGCACTGCTGATGTTGCTGTCACAGACGAAGGAGGGAATTTGATCAGAGAAGGAGATATTTTTGTATCGGACTTGCACCGGCATGCCAATGTGTCTGTCCTGCTTAATGTGAGTGTTCCCAAGACTAATGATGCAATTAGCAATGCCAACATTGATGAGGGACTTTTAGAAGAAGAGGAGGGTAGTGGCTTTATTCCAACCAGAAGACATGTTGCAGACATGCATAATCCTCCTTCTGATTCTGTTCAACATGACCATCCTCCTGTGTATTCATATGGTCAGGATGAGGTGGAAATCATTAGACTGAACCATGAGTCAGTGACCCTCAAGTCAGGCAATAACAGTCTCCCACCACATACAAGCCCAGATGCCAACAAACTCAATAATGAAGTTAAGGACATTCCTTCATTTGAAGGTGACGATATTGACACTGAAGATACAGAAGATGAAACTGGCAAGGCTGAACATGAAAAGGGTACAACTGGAAAGTCTGTAATCACTACCACTTACCTGTCTGCATTTCAGTCTGATGCTACAACAATGCAATATAAAGATGAGTCAAAATCTGACATTTCTCTGTTTCATACATCCGTAGAGGCTCCTTCACAGTCAGAGAAACTAGAAGCAGATATGGTAAACAGTGCTACTGAATATAATTCCCAGTCTGTTGTTAAGCATGTTTCACCAGAGCATGGTTCAAAATTAATACCACATTCTGCATCTGAGAGTGTCCTTAACAGCCACGCTGAAATGCCTCATAATATTGTGAATGTAAGTACATCATTAACAGCTTTGCCAAAAGTCAATGTGTTGGAACTGACACCCGATTTAAATGGCTCATCTAGACATGCTAAACGTGTGCTTGTGAATGTAACAATAGCCACCGAGGATGCCGATCAAAGCAATGAGACTGGCTATCACTTGAGTAACCACCAACCTGTATACGTCCTCTCTGTGTCCGTTCCCACCAGCGGTGATAGTGAGAGAGTGGCAGGCCTTGATATGAGTCCCGCATCCCAGAATGTTGCCTCTGTCCTTCTTGGTTTGAGCAATGAGAATGGTACTCAGACTTTGATCTCTAAGCATGAACAACCAGCCCCACTGCCATCACTGCCACCAACCACCACTACCCTCACCCCTCCTCCTCCAACTACTGCTTTCCAACTGTGGGGTGGAGTATGTGAATGCTCTTGCCCATGTCTCGATAATTCAGAGAACGAAACTGACCCGGACTTGGAAAATGACAATTTAGTGTCTGCCTCAACTGACACATCAGTATTTATAGAAAATGTTACAGTTCCCACAACACAGCAAGGAAATCTCACTGGGCAAGAGAAACAAATTGGTGACATAGTTCTCATACCTGAAACTGTTACAATAATAGAAGACTCCAGCACCACATCTGAAATACTGGCAACAGAGCCTGATGAAGTCTCGACTGTGCCCTCGGATGTGACCATGACAGACATTCCTGTGAAGAAGATAGAAACCACTACAGTGGAAACATCACCCTCACCAAATTTCACATATAGCCCCTCTTCTGAGTTTACTGATGAGTCTTCGAATGCAGAGGTTTTGATCAGCTCATCTCCGTCACCCATGCTGGAGAATGTGTCATCCACATCTGTCAGTGATGTAATGACTGAGGTGTCAGCAGGTTTTACCAGCACCGAGAGTAACAGGCAGGACTGCCCAGTAGCCCCCACGGTCACTCCTCCTCCACCGCTCATCCTCGTACTCAAAGGTAAGATCATAATGCAGTTCAAGTCAGTCCTTCATTGTCCTCACTGACACCTGAATTACACTCTGGTATTACTGTGTCTTTAATATCTGCATCAGTGAGTGCTCTTTCCTGTACTGCACATGTGGGGTCTTCAAGAATGATATAGTTACATCGATCCTTCTGTCTTAACAGTAAGTGAATGTTATCAGCTAGGATCCTTTTTCTACCCCTTTAATGCAACATACAGTTGAATAGTTCAAATTAATTCTATATGTAAATATGTGCCTGTTACCATTCACATTGGATTTTGTTAAGTGGATGAAAATTTGGTAGGACAGATATCTTTGTAAGACATTTTGTTACACTATTCCTAAAACATCTTTCAGGTTGTGTGATCATCAGATAGTGATGTAGATGATTACTTCTTTATTAGAAAGTTATTCTGTTTGAAACACATGATTAGAACCAAAATTGCCATGTTGGAGATCCTGTCAAACACATGGGACTTTCCTTCCATAAGATTGCCCACACAAGGTACAGTGCACAATCACAGATGTTCCAGACATACATTATAATATGCTTCTTACGTGTTCTTTGCAAAACACACATAAAGTGAGAGCATAATGACAATGCAATTTGTCATCTCCACAGCTACTCACAGATTTTGATTGTAGTTTGACATTGGGAGTCTACAGAGGAACTATAAAGGTTGACAAAAGACTTAATTTTAGTTTATATTGCTCAAGTATAACATGTACTTTACATGATGAATTTTCTCAAAAAGAGTTCATAATACAGAATATTTATGTATGATATGGGATATACAGTAGACCCCAGTAAGTTCTACAAATTTTGATACATTTCTCTTTCAGATAGTGCAGCTCTTTTCAGGGCAACAGGATCCTATTCATTTTATCCCATTCCCATTGGTTCATTCTTTATCCTTTCTTCCTTACATCACTGGCCATTTTTTCCCATGTAGCTTACTCTCCCAACCAGAAGATGGAACAGCATCTTCCTCCAAAATGTTGATACTCGTTCATTCATTCATCAGTAATCTGTCAAGATGACAGGACCACAGTCTCTTCCAAAACAGTTCCCCCACTGAATGCGATCTAGAGCTTTCTCCTTCAAATGAGAATATCTCTTCTGTCCCCAAGGTCATCCAGCATCTTATGTCTTCTTCCTCGTCTTATGGTCACTTCTACCCGCCCCTCTATCTTTCCTTCAATAACTTCTTTTAGAAAGCAGTTATTGCATAAGATATGACCAATACAATTAGCCTTCCATTTTCTTATTTCGTGTAGGATATTCCTCTGCTCACTGACTCTAAATAACACTTCTTCATTTCTCACATAATTGGTCCAACTGATCTTCTCCATCCTTCTCCAACACCACATTTCGAAGCTTTCCAGGTGTTCCTGATCTACTGATGTTGATACATATCTACAAAATTGTAGGATGTCACATCCTAGAAGGCTGTAATCTTAGCATACTCCAGTCTCTAGCAAACCTGTGCCTCTGCACTTTTGATTCTTAGTAATGTTATTAAATGCTTTCATTTTACTCTATGTCTAGTGGTGTGTTGATAGATGAGGCAGCAGTGCATTATGAACTGAGAGTATGAGAATAAGGCATTATGACTTAGTACCTGTATTCTCAAATACTGGTTGCTGGAAACCAATGAAAATTAAAATCAATATAAGAAGTCTGTTGGGTTCTTAGATTCCCCCAAAGATGCAGATACCATCATTATCTACTGTTAATTTTTGCAAAGTAACATATTTTTCAGAAATTCTCTTAATTTATTCCAGATTTTATATAATGATATTAAATAATTTATACTAACATCCCTAACTTACATAGTTTTCATAATATGAACACAAATTTATACAGCTATTTTCTTTATTTCTGTTAATGAAGACTAAAACATAATTAAATTTATTTATACTCTATGGTATCCACTTGTTGTATTCACAATCCAATCATAACACCCACTATTAAAGAAATACATATTTCAAGAAGCTTGTCTAAATAAGTATTTTCACGAAAATGATGACAGATGACAATAGAGAGACTGTTGTTGGCAGGTCCACCTATTTACATAATTAGCACTGCAGTGAGCATGCACTCATAATTTCACCCAACACTGTTACAATTTTATTTTGTTGAGAGATAAACAAAATAACTTATGGTCTGTAAACAGCTAAAATTAATGGTATTAAAGTTAACTGGATTATTCACGTTTTCAATAAACCCTACGAGGTAAAAGGACAGGAAAACCAGAGATTTTGTTTATGCAGTTTCAAATTATATAACCTCTCCTGGGAATGAAGGTGTTACAAAAGTCAGAGAATAACATACTACACAATAATACCATGCATTATAGAAATTAAAATAAATTTGATGTGACAGTGTAGCAATGTAATAAGGACTGACTGATACATATCATTAAATGTGTATGAATTTAACCAAAGTAATTAACAGTAATTAGGTTTTGTGCATGGACATGTGGACATGATGTGATGTTTTAAAGCATTTCTATCAGTGGCATGGCTGATAAGTAGAGGAACTCTGCTGTTGGAGCTAACAAATGGAGTAAGTAACATTTCCTGTAGAAACGCCGTAACACAGCATGCCATGCATGTTTCATGTTCACAAATGCTTTGAAAGTTGTGGTGATTGGCATAATCAAATTAAGTTGAACCACTTTCCAAATAAATTACTAATTATTTCAATTGTTAGTTCCTTTTATAATTTAGTTATAACTATCATCCAACCTGCTTAGATACTACAGTAAATCTTTTCTATCTATGTATATAACATAAACCACATTGTTAAATATAGTTGCTAAAGAATAAGTTAATATTAGATATTACTAGACTCTAAACTTTATATTAATATTAGAAAGAAATTAAAAACTTAATTTATAACACTGCTTTGTGTTTTTATATAACTGCTGATCTATTTTGCAGAAAGTTATATTAAAATGTTGCTTCAGTTTCAAGCTTTCTGATGATTGTATAACACATTGCTAAAAGCTGTCATTTTGGACTTTGTTCATCATCCATATTTACTCGAGCCACTACAGTTCAGAAATTGGTTCTGTATTCATCTTCAGTTGAACAGGATGCAAAGGAAATCCTACTTTGCTGGAAATAGTCCATGGTTTGAGAGTAGATGTGCTGAGGGTTCCAGTAAAGTACTCTTTTTTTATTTTGTATCATGTTCATCTGAAGCTGGAAGAACTTTATAAAATGTTGTGATTTTAGTAAACTTGGACCATGAATAATGTTCAAGATAATAAGTTTTAACTCAACTTTTCACATTATAACACAGGATAGAAAAAAGTATTTACTCATCACTTAAACCAATAAAGTATCTTGTATAAGCCTTATATTTGCACATAAAAAAGTACTGTAAGTTCTTATTAATAGTTTAGTGATAAAAATTTGTTTCATTTTTAATGTTGTATTTGGCAATTGGGCTTATGTTATGCTTAATACCAAGTAAACCTATCAGTTTAGCTTTAATTAACAAATAACTATGAGTGCTGTACTCACAAACAAACATATTGCAATGAGTTTTGCCACTGAAGATGCCTTTCGGATTGTTAATGGGTTTATTCAACAACCTACAAATCGTAAATATAATTAATTATGACAATGTTGCAGGTTTACACACTTTACAAACCCTACTCACAAATCTCTTCACACTATTACGATTCACTCGTTACAACTGAACTCGGTGACTACTACAATTCACCTGTCTTCGGCGGCTGCTACATTTTAACTGACTCGTTACTCTCTCTCTAGCAACTCTTATAAACCCTCAGTGGGACAGCAGAAAACCCACATTGCTTGACTGTTGCTTGACGTCTAGTTTACTGATTGCCTAGCAACAGTCGTTGCACGGGCTCGCCTGTTGTGTGACATCACAGCCTTGCAGGGTGTTATCCTGTGTAGTCTTTCTGTGTGCATGCTGCTGTTATTCTTTACTACATGTGCTACTTGTGAGCACACGTAGTAAAGAATAACAGCAGCATGCACACAGAAAGACTACACAGGATAACACCTATACAGTGTGGAAACAAGAACTAGCCGCTGCAGCACTTTAAACATAGGGCGAGTAACCCTAAAAATTTTAAATTTAAAATTTAGAGAAAAATTTTAAAAGATTTTAAAATTAGAACTAAAGATTTTATAGTGCTACTACAGGAACGTCAAAATTAATGTGTGTAAAATAATCTACAAACCAGACAGATATCAACGAAGTAGATGTTGATAATAATTTTGGGCTGGGTGCAGTGTGAGCAGCAACGTGAGTGTTATACACCGGATGATGGCCGTCTGAGGCCGAAACATGTAGTGTAGAGGAGCAAGATTAAGGACACATAATATATTGTTTGCACTTTGGACGGAATTTGTATCATTATATCATTTATCGTCTGAAATCAAATTGAACTTATTCTAAAATTTGAAAAATCTTCACAGGAAAGCTAATTATTGGTTAATTATGGTGATATCTTGTTATTAGTATTGCACTTTTACTTTCAGAGTTAAAGTAATCGTACTAGTAAAGAAATGTGATAATCAAAATTGTAACTAACTTATCTAACAACAAAAATACTTTCTTCTGTGATGTGACACCATGTAGTCCAGTAAAAGTTCACTGATATTTTGAAGTAATGTTTGTGAACAGCTACCATACTACACAGCTTCACATGCCATGAAATAATATTCTTTGTAGTCACTGCTATGAGAACCTCAAATTCAACATATTATATAATATTGTATGTTTCAGTGCAATTGAAAGTAATAACAATTTTCATTGTGATCAGTGTTATCAGTTGACAAGAAAAGTCCAGTGTTCTGAAGACCATATCTATTCAATCACTCCCAGGAGGTGAAGGAAATATGGATGATCTCATGAACAATGGACTTTGCCCAAGAAGATTTATGAATTGTTAGCTGCAGGGTGTTATTGCTAGTTACAACTACTCAGTTTCCATACATTTCTATAAATCCTCAATTTATGAATTATCTTATTCATTACATAAATATTCATTATTTTACACTAATGTTTAAGAACAAAGCATTTGTTTTTATGATGGACATTTTCCTCATCTGTTGCACTTCATAACATATAAGTAAGATTAGGATTGAATTCCAATATGTGAAGCATTTCCTTTGAAATGGGTGCACACAGTAGCCTAGTAGCCTAGCTGGTTGAGGCACTATGCTACAAGCTGGAAGGCCATGGGTTTGATTCCTGATGAGGTCATTGGATTTTTTAATTGACCTAATGCTTCCAGCTCCACTATAGCCATGGGGTCGACCCGGCCTCTAAAAGAAATAAGTACCAGGAATCTTCCTGTGTGTAAAGAGCAGCCAGCACATAAGGCTCACAATCTCACCGCCATCTACGAGTTGATTGTCAAGAAAATGTGCTAGCTTCTACTTCTCACAAACCTATGGGCCTTCACAGACTGTTACAAGGATAGCTTTACCTTTTCTTATCTTTTATGTCCTTCTAAGTACTGACCACCTTCTGAAGGTGGCCATCATTGGCTGAAACATGTAAAGGCTGTAGTTTATTATTAATGAACATTGTAGCACTTATGGAATTCAATACTAATTTTACTTATAAATGAAATATTTGGTTTATTAAATATATTTGTGCAATGAAAGTTATGAATTCTAATTCACAGCCAGAAATAGAATATTAAACAAAAAATCAGAATATCAGTTTCAAAATGTAAGATATAAAGCTAGTGTATATTGTTTCCAGTAAATTACTGACTCACGGTTTACACTAAATTTTATAAATTATTCAGAATCATATTATCATATTAAGTTATAATATTTATACTTTTATAAAGTAAGTTTAGTTCTGTCCCACTACACCAATGATAAAAAAAAAATTGGTTCTTATTTCAGGTGGCAAAATTCCACCGAGATCATTTCCTCCTGATGGAACAACTTTTTCACAAATTTCTTTGGGTAAAAAATTATCAAAGGACATTCCTCCATATAGTTATTGGAACATGCAGTTTTATCAATCAGAAGCCGCCTATGTCAAGTTTGATTACAGCATTCCACGTGGTGCTAGCATAGGTGTCTATGCACGACGAAACGCGCTACCAACGCACACACAGTACCACATCTTAGATGTTTTAAGCGGTTTCAAGGCAAGAAGCAAAAGAGGTTCACACGTAAGTTTATGTGCAAATACTTATATATCACTTAGAATTGTTAAGATTCACTATGTATAATGCAGTAAGCTTATAAAAATTTCATGATGAATCAGAATTAAAATACATGCAAAATAAGTTCATGAAATGATTTCATTTTGTCAGAAACATGTTAACCCTCAAGTTTCAGAAATATATTTGTATCCCTCCGTCTTGTATCATGTGAATTAATGTTAACTCAGTTCTTTGAGATTATTTTGATATATCCATTTAATATTTTAACTATAATTTAAACCTAACATGAGTGACCATATATTTGAATTATCAATCTTGCCCATATGGGGAAGAGATTTTGACTTAGGTAATCTGATCATATGTGATCTAATTTATTTTTAAATATTATCCATAATGAAAACACTTTTTTAGTTTCATACTCAGAAATTAATTTCTTCTGTATATGCTTCTTTTTTTTGAAATTCTACAAACTGACTTTTGAACAAGGATAGCTCAGTTGATATAGCGACTAGACTATTGACTGGAAGAAATTTCTCTCATCTCCACAGTATCTGCATAGGCTCTGGGTTCCACCGAGCCGTTCCCTTAATGGCTACTGGTGGCAATTTTCCCTGGGCATAAAATGTCTAAACTTAAGATGTTTACTATTCAGGATTGCTGAGTTTTTGGACTTCATCCATCATTTGGTGTTCTAACAAACAAATGGTTCAGACAGGTGCCTATTCTGCTGGGTTAGTAGAAAGTGCTCACTTTAGTCACAGGATGTGTTCTTTAGAATATTGAATGCTGGACAAAGTAAAAAAACTCATTAATCCCAGGTATTGTACACCATCATCAGAGCCATTTAGAACTGAAAATATGTACTGTTGGTGCCACCAGTCTGTGAGCTTAACCCTCAGCTATGCTTCTGCATCACAGAATCCAAGGTAACTAAGACCCTGAGAAACAGCTCTCAGTTTCCAGGTTGGTGGGTCCCAGAGTCTAGACACTGTGGAGAAGATACAATCTCTTGCCCTTGTCAGCCACTTCTTAAAAGGTTCCTGTCATCTAAACTCTGATACTACATGTGAAAAACACCATTAAAATTATTGTCTTCTGGGTTGAGACACTGTGTAATTTTGTGGGTGGATACTGAAGAGGGATTCAGAATATGTTGGTGTTCTTCTACATAATTACATGGTGTCATAACCCATAAGACCATCTTAATAATCATTAACATGAAAGACTCAAAACATATATAGACACCATATTTATACAGTTCTGATTCTGTGTGTTCTCCAAGCACACTTATTTTAATTAGAAGAAAAATAATATATTGTATCTAACAAAAATTTCTCTCTTTCCTATAGCCAACAGTGAAGAAAGAAGTGACTCACTTTATGGATCCTGGCCACTGGTTCCTGTCTCTGTACAATGATGATGGCGATGCACAGGAAGTCTCATTCGTTGCTGTCATCTCAGAAGATATGACACAGAACTGTCCTAATGGTTGCAGTGGGAAGGGAGAATGTTTACTGGGACACTGTCAATGTAACCCAGGGTTTGGAGGAGATGATTGCAGTGAAAGTATGTTCAGAATTATGTACATATATTGCTTTATTTCTGAGCCATGTTACTTTGGGAATGACAGTTTGTATCTCATGTGGGTTTATCACTTATCATATATTAATAAATCCATGTGGATATTAACCCTTACACTGCTGCCGTTGACATATGTCAATCTCTGAAAAACATAGCATCCTTGCTGCGATCGACAAAACCCATATTGCAACTTTAGAGTTTCAAATCTCAGGTTTCTTTGCACCACTCTCATTCAAACTTGGTGGATGCATAGAGTCATCTATTGGGAATGTAATGAAGCATCATTCATTTCAATGGCTGCATTCTTCTGCCCTCTAGCTTAAGAAATATAAAAGGTTCCATCTGCATAGCGAGGCACGAGCTCTGTGGTCATGTGATGCAGGTATTTCACAGGGCTAGTAAAAATGGCTTTATATAGTGAGCAATGCTTTCTATAATAGTTTTAAATAAAGTTGTGGACTTTGATCAACATGTGACATAGTGATAAGACTAGGATAGTGAATTGTGTATTTTTTGGCCATCTTGGACAACCCTGATTTAAATGGACTTTTCCCTGTGAAAAATACTGAATAATTCAACATTTTTGCAACTTCTGCTGCCTGTTCCCTGTCTGAGGTAAGATTAGTTACATTTTATCACAAGTTTTCATACTGTGCACTTAAATTATTTGTAAAAGATTTATTCAAAAATAATTCAGCACAGAGGGTACTGAGAGTTACTTATCATACTAGCAGTGAAAGGGTTAAGAGGAATCATTTCATGGATAAATGTTTCGGTTGGTGAATGCCACTGTGATTACTAACACCCCCTTGCTGCCACAGAAGATACTTTTATCCATTCTTTAATGATTGAAGTCATTTTTGTCCCATTCACATATGCTGATTGTGTGCAGTTCATAAGGTGGTGTATCTGCTATGGCTTTTGGGTCTGCAAAAATTGTAAGCATTTATTGGAATTCATAATAGTGTAAAGGTGATGTTTTTCTCAACCGGATGGCCTGGAACAAAAAACACAGAAAACTGCAATAGCCTGAAGCAAAAGTTTGAAAAATTATGTTAGTTATCAACATGGCATTATGGCTTTCAGTTCCAATTACCTGCATTTTCCACGCTGTTGTTTTCGGAGCAAATAAAATAGTTTCAATATTTTACAAATTATTTTTATTAAAAACACAAAACATGTACATATTGTCACAGTTTGTGTATTTAATATTTACTTTTGGTATTGTCACGTATCGGGCGTATATCGCGACAAATAACTTCATGCCATATTTTGTATAGCGAATTTTATTTCACATTCGCACTTACAATCACCCAAATTACAGATTTACGGTTACTGCTATCTGCAGTATCACAATTAGTACACTCCAAATGCCAGAATACAACTGACTAGTTGCTGGCTAACTCGGCGGTAGCTCCAGGACTCACTGACTGACTCAGTACAACTACTGTGAATAGCCTTCGCTGCTCCCTCTGTAGCCTCGATCGGACAATACGGCCACGTAATAGGCACCCTTGTTGCTAGCCACGCAGTCCGGAGTTGTTGACGGCTGCCTAGTCACCGCGATATCCCTCGGTGGCGTCCCCACGTTGACTTGCGTTGCCTAGCGACCAGGACGCTAGGACTCGGCTAACATCGGCTCCCTTCGGCTTCGCTCGGCGCATCACGGCTGGGGGAGGGTGGGGGGGGGAGGGGCGTCATTCAGAGCTCAACATGTCACAGTATGTAATAAATAAAAGGGTAAAAAACGTAAACTAATCATATATTTAAGGAAGATGGGATAGCATTGTCAGTATAGCGACTGGCTATGGGCTGGACAACCGAGGAGTCAGAGTTTGAGTCGCTGTAGGGTCAAGAATTTGCTCTTCTCCAACTCATCTAGACTGGCTCTGGGGTCCACCCAACCTCCTATATAAGGGATATCAGGGCCTCTTTCCCCAGAGTTAAAGCGGCCAGGGCATGAAGCTGACCACTCGCCTCCAACTAGTGCTGAGGTCAAGAAAATGTGGATCTATACATCCACTCCACCATAAACCTTTTAATTGTATCATTAAGCAGGTGTCAGTTTTCATTCCTCAGCAAATTATATACTACTACATACATATATCCAACAGTAGTTCAAATCTGAAAAATTGCATTCAATTTTTGACTGTCTTTCTCTAACTCTCACTTTTATTGAATTGGTAGCTGGAAAAGTAATGGGCCCACATCTCAACTATTGGGGCATGTTCTCTTTTGGAACTAACCAATTTAGTTACAACTCATATGATTACTGTAGTGGGAGCAGTCAGTCTAGTCCCCTTGGCCTTTTCCTGGTCACATGACACATGATAACACAGGACTAATGACAGAGCTTAGCATTACAGCTGCATCTCTAGTACTGGCCATGATTACTGTAGTGGGAGCAGTCAGTCTAGTCCCCTTGGCCTTTTCCTGGTCACATGACACATGATAACACAGGACTAATGACAGAGCTTAGCATTACAGCTGCATCTCTAGTACTGGCCATGATTACTGTAGTGGGAGCAGTCAGTCTAGTCCCCTTGGCCTTTTCCTGGTCACATGACACATGATAACACAGGACTAATGACAGAGCTTAGCATTACAGCTGCATCTCTAGTACTGGCCATGATTACTGTAGTGGGAGCAGTCAGTCTAGTCCCCTTGGCCTTTTCCTGGTCACATGACACATGATAACACAGGACTAATGACAGAGCTTAGCATTACAGCTGCATCTCTAGTACTGGCCATGATTACTGTAGTGGGAGCAGTCAGTCTAGTCCCCTTGGCCTTTTCCTGGTCACATGACACATGATAACACAGGACTAATGACAGAGCTTAGCATTACAGCTGCATCTCTAGTGCTGGCCATCTCTGTGCTCCACATTCGTACCTGTGGTACATTGTTCCTTCTGAATATTTTTCTGTAGATTACTCAGACTATAAGAAAGAGCCATGCTGTAGCTCAGTCAGTCAGGCACTGGCTTCTCACTGTGGAGAATTGGGGTTCAACCCTGAGAGACTTTATGTGACATTCATATTGGTTTGAGCAACATTAGAACAGATTTTTCTCCAAATTTGTTTGGTTTTACCCTACTAATCATCATTCCATCATTGAATCATACTGCCTTCTGAGGTGTGCTTTAATCCAGACAGGCAGCACATTATCATATTCTCACACTGTAAGTTCTGGGCTTCCTATCTGACCTACTACTTGCCTGATTACAGAATAAAATAGTTAATTAGAATGATTACTAAGTGATATTCACATCACATATATTTTGTTTAGGTAATTTGACTGTATGCTTCAGGTGTTGATACTACTGTAAGATATCAAAGTGTGCATGTTGTGTCATTTGTTTGCTGTGCTAAAGCCTGTTGGGTGGGGCTTTGCTTGCTTTGCAGGTGTATGTCCTGTTTTGTGTAGCCAGAGAGGGGATTATATCAATGGTGAATGTCAGTGTAACCCAGGGTGGAAAGGCAAAGAGTGCAGTCTTAGGCATGATGAATGTGAGGTCCCTGACTGCAATGGTCATGGTCACTGTGTCAATGGGAAATGTGCTTGTGTCCGTGGTTACATGGGCAAGTTCTGTGAGGAGGGTAAGTTTTGACCACTGAAGGTATATGTACATGCTCTTACCCTAAGATAGTGTGTCTAAAAAGCAGTTTCCACTTCATACATGATTACATTACATTACATTGCATTGCATTGTGTTCCATGGATCCAAAGTTAGTCAAAATGACTGTAGGATGTGGAATATGTCATAAATACAAAACATATGTACAGGCCCAGTGGAGTTCCCACACAAGAAAACTGCCGGAAAACATAAGTATGTACATGTTATTTTCTGCTGTACTTTGAGTAGACAAACAATGAATGGAATGTTGGGAGTTTAAGTTGGACACCTGCTTGCCATCCTACCAACATTTCATATCCCACCTCTGTCAACACCAATAATAAACCGAGAATGCAAAAAGAGAGAAAGAGCAAGAATACAAGAGACAAATCTTGGGAATGGAGGAAGCACAAAGGGGAAGGTAGCTACTAGTCATACAGGTCAAAGACAATCCGTGTTTATTTTTATTTCCTGACCCAAGTATAGTATGGGTCATAATTCTTAGTTAAGATCTCATGTTGCTTAAATATTATCTTGTTTATTCTTGTATGGTTTATTTAATAATACTGCCAGTTACTTGGATCATATAGTACCAAATCATAAGGTGATTACTGAATAATAAACTGGAAAGAATGTGGAAGGAAGCAGTCATGGTCTAATTTGAGGTAATATCCCATCATTTGCCTGGAGGAATTCAGAGAAACCTTGTTCACGATAAGTTGCATCTGGACTAAAATTTTAATGCAGGACCTTCCAAAAATGAAGAAGATTTGTTGCCCATCAACTACAGCATTCAGTCTTAAGAAAAATGTCCACTGGATAAATAACTGGAGAGACTGATACTAGTAATAGAGGTCAATAAATATCAACTTTATTTTAATAATATGTATGAAATAAGCTATGTTTGATTAAACCAGGTATGCCAATAACAAAAGTGACAGTCATGTAGTTGTAATTCATTCATTCATTCATTCATTTATTGTATATTCCATAAATCCATATATATAGATATAGAACCAGTCACATAGTTATTATAGTACACTACAATATATGTACAACTTATAATCATTATAATAGATAAAAAACATGTGTTAAATTTACAGTCTTTCATCACTATGCATAGCATTTTTGTTATCCTGCTTTTTTATTGTCTTTGTTGCTGTATTCAAGACATACAAACCTACATCCCACTTATTATGCATTTTGAAGTAACATCATTATTTCAATGAAAATAAGCTTTTACTCACTAATGGAATATCATACTCTCACGTTGTGCTTAACATAAATTTTAATAAAAAATACAAAAGCAAGAAAGAGAGGAGCACATTGTTTTGTCTCAAAATACAATACACAAAACCTGGATGTGATGCAAGATTTTTGTGTCCTGATTTAGAATCAGCATATTAAAATTAGTTTTAAAAGTTACATTTATTTCTTGTTCGTGAGTGTAAATATTTAGGCCATCAGGTTAAAATTTTCTGTCACCATGCTTCCAGATTAGTTCCCCTAATATGAAACTGTGCATGGTGATACTGTTGATATTTGTTTCCAAATTTCTGACTTGACATTGTTATTTCTATCCCAGTGGACTGCCCTCATCCCACTTGTTCTGGACATGGGTTCTGCGCAGAAGGCATTTGTATTTGCAAGAAAGGATGGAAAGGAGCAGACTGTAGCCAGATGGATAGTGATGCCCTTCAGTGTCTCCCAGACTGTTCAGGTCATGGTAGCTTTGACCTTGAGACTCAGACCTGTAGCTGTGAACCCATGTGGTCAGGAGATGACTGCTCAAGAGGTTAGTTACTTTTTGTACTGAAATATACCTCAAATATATGTATATCTGCAGACAGTTCTACAGTTATTATCTGAGTGTCTGTTGGGCTCCTTTTCCATGAATATTTGTCCATCAGATTTTCTGATTCACTATTTTATGGTGTCAGTATGCCATATTTTGTGGCATTGGTGTGCCAAATTTTATGGTGCTAGTACACCATGTTCTTTGGAGCATCTCAGTGAACACTGATCAATCTTTTGGCTGTATGGTAAGAGCCTCATTTAAATCAATGGTTCATTAAGATATGCCATGAACACTTGAGGAAAAGGTGCCATATAATTCTGTGGAACGTCTATATTGAAGCAGTAAGCATGAATGTAATGCCCTTTCGGATATTGCCTTATCACATTTACTGTCATGCCCTCTTCCTTAAATTTTACTCTTTGGGTCAGCCATTTTTTGATGAAAATCAAATTTGTAGTTACCATATTTGAAAAGAAAATGAAAAAGAACAAGTCAAATACAATCATTATTCACAATATATTTAAAATTTTCCAGGCTTCAACAAACCACGTTTAAAATTTCTCTTCATTTAAGTGACATCTATAGGAGAAAATATATTTATGTACACAGTTGCAAAAGAGTGTCACTTCATGGGATAAGCACTAGCATGCATTGGGTTTCAGCTGATCAGCTGATAAAATTGGCAGGAAAGTGTTATTGAACAACCCTGATACTTCATCCCAAGAAATCCTTTGAGTATTACATTTTCTTTAAATTCTTCTTTTAAATTATATTGTATGTAATTACAGAATTATGTATTGGAGAAATAGTCCTTATATCTGACAGAATGCAAACATCATCTAATATCTTTATTTAAAGTTTAACAGGCTTTCAACATGTTATACAATATTTTCTTCATCTTTTCTGACAGACTGTTAGTAGATTATTCCATTTTGTCTTCATCTGTTCTAACAAAATATTAGCAGATTATAACATACTGATTTTATCTGTTGTAACAAATTAATAGCAGTTTAAGCCACATTGTCTTTATCTGTTCTGTTATTGTCTTAGCAATTTATACCATATTGTATTCATCTGTTCTAGCAGACAGTTAACAGGTTACATTATATTGTCTCCATCTATTCTACTGTTACTGTGCTCACAAGAGTCCACCTATGGACCATATCCTGAATTATATTATTCTTTGTTCATATCCTCACACTGTCTTTATGGTCCATTTTAATATTGACCTCTTAGCTATGTCTAGGTATCCCAGATGGTCTTTTCTGTACAGATCCCTGAACCAAAATGTTACATACATGTCTCATCTCTCTTATTCATGCTGCATGTCCTGTCCATCTCATATTCATTTTGGTGCACCTGATAATATTTGAGGAAGAGTACAAATTATGTAGCTGTTGATTTTTTCCTTCCTTCTGTCACTTATCTCTTAGATCTAAACATTCTCTTCCTTGCTCATGTTCTAAAACACCTCAGGGGGAAAGACCAAGTATCACACACATACAAATGTAATGCTACAGATATTAATATTTTAATTTCAGAGCTCTGTGACCTGGACTGTGGACCACATGGTCACTGTGTTGGTGACTCATGTATGTGCAATTCTGGATGGTCTGGAGATTACTGCACCCTGAAACAGTGTGATCCGAGGTACTGAGAGTTGTCTTCAGCAAAAAGGATTGTAGTCAAAATTTCAGTCTTCTGGGCGATCAGTTTTTGGGAGTTATTTTACAATTATGTCAGTTTTTATGCTACATGGGGATCGAGAAGTCGCGCAAATCACACTAAGCAATTATATTTTGCTGGTTTAATGCACAAACTACAAGACATACAGCACTTACTATTAATGTCTATAACCTTACATCTTTTTTTTAATTCACTTAGTGGGGGGTGGAGTCCAGCTGGGTGATTATGATGATGGAGAATTTGGTGGAATTAAGATTGGCAGGGGAAACCAAAGTACTTGGAGAAAATCTGCTCCAGTGCCACTTTGTCCACCACAAATCCCACTTGACCAGACCCCAGGATCAAACCCGGGCCCCTGCGGTGGGAAGCCAGCAACTAACCGCTTGAGCTATGGCGCGGCCAACCTTACATCTTAAAAATGCAAAATCAAATCATGTCTTTACAACATCTACTCGAAATGGCTTACCTGTTCAGCAACGCATGTGTGAGCTCTTTTTACCATGTTTGAGGCCACTTTGTGGAGCACATGTAAACTGATGCTGTTAATTGCCGTCATAATGTTCCTCTTGTGGTCATCCAGTGTACGTGGATTGTTTTTATAGACAATTCCTTTGAGGTACCCCTAAAGGAAAAAATCTGCGGGTGACAAATCGAGTGAATGCGGGGGCCACAATCCTTTCAAAATGAGGTGGTCACCGAAAAACTTGCACAAGAACTGCATAGTTTCATTAGATGTGTGACATGTGACACTGTCTTGCTGCAACCAACACTCACATTCATCAACTTCAAGAAGCGCAGTAAACTGTGTAATGACGTCTTGGTACACTGGACTTTTCACTGTTGTTTCAAAGAAAATTGGGCTCACTATTTGATGATGTGTGTTACAGTATACCACACTCCAATTTTCTGACAGTGAAAGGGCTTTTCATGTAACACATGTGGATTTTCAGATGACCAAATCCTATTGTTTTGATTGTTCACGTAGCTACTAAGGTGAAACCATGCTTCGTCAGTGAAGAAAACCGATCGAACTCTTCAATTCCATGGTTGACAACAAATGTCCAAAACCATCTACAGTACACTAAGCATTTTTCTTTATCCAGGTCCTTCAGTTCCTGCACACAACAAACACAATATGCACGAAGGTGTAACTTCATCACATTCTGATCACTTCCATACAAAATCCCTGATTGTGCTGATAGTCTCCTCAGGTTTTTTGAAGAGAAACACGGCAACATTTTCTCCACATCAGCCAGTAAAGCCTCAATCAAAATGGCCGGTCTCCCAGATCTCTTCCTATCTTAAACTGAACCTAAAAATATATATTCATCACTTTCTTGGTATATTTAATGATTCTTTCACTTGCACAGATTATATAGTTTCATATAACTTGATGATTGGTGAATAATGAATTAGTATGTGGATGGAAATGATTGTGGCCTGACTTGAGGTATTGCACTGGCATTTTGCTGGAGAGACTAATGAAAATTACAGGAAAACTCAATACATATAGCCAGT